TTTTTACAATATGAAAAACACTATGTAAAAACCAATTTCCCTACCTCAAATGTAAAAATATAAAATATGTTTAGAGACAGTTAATGCCATATGCCAATAGCTCTTCTTGAATCCTCTGCTTTGCAATCAATAATTCTCCAACCATTAGTGAATATGCTCCATGACTCATCAGAAACAATACACAAAGTTAATGGGGATCATTCTTCCCCTCACCCTCCACACACGCACTGACACTAATGGAAGCTATGCTTCATATAGTGGAAGACAGATTCAAGATGGCACCAAGCCGAAAGGCAACTCTTCTTGAGGCCCTGTATACAATCTAACTCCTCCCCACAAAGAATCCACGACATCCATCTTACATTTTTTGGCATCCTTCAAGAAAATAATAGTAAGCATACTTTATATGGCTAGAAAAGAACCACATTTTTTTCAGCTTAACACTCACTGTGAATGGCAAAATGTACTTCAGTTACGAAAATATCTGAAAGGAATGTTTCCAGGACCTATGCCATTGTGCTTTGTTTACCAGTCAGATGCTTTCTCAAGAATGTGTTCAAATTATAAAGACAGTGTCTCCATGTATAGAAACTCTTCAGAGCCCATGTTACAGTAGAAACACATTTTTACCTTTGCTAATATTCAAAACAATACCCTCCTATCTGCAAGTAAAAATCTTTCATTCTTATGAATTCAGCAATCTTTTATTAACATTTGCTCAGGACTTTGGATTTGGTTTTTTTTTTTTTTTAATTTTCTAAAGAAAGTTCTAGTAAAAGAAAACACATATTAAGTATTTGAAGATAATTGCTATTTACTAAAAACTCTATTTTAAAATAATTTTAGTGACTCGTTTATGTTTTGTAACTTCAGGACAATGATAACTACAGTGTCTCTAAAATGTTCCTAAGTAACAATCATACTCTATTTTGGCCTTTGAGAGGTGTTAAGACTCATTCTCTAATTATAAGTCTTTCTCTATTATTACTACCTCACCATCAAATCTCTAAACTAAATAGCAGCTTTGAGGAAATAAAAATAGATGTTAGGTGGTGTGTTTTCTCAAATTTTGGTTACAATGGATAAGAAAGACAAGGTATTTCTACATATAATAAAATAAGCCAATTTGATTGTTTTGACCAGCAAACTCTTTAAGCTTTCTCCCAGAATATTGTTTTTCTGCTTTATCCTAGAACAACACTGTCCAAAATAAGTACGATGTTAGCCACATTTGTTATATTAAGTTTTCTAGACGTCATGAAAGAGAGAACAGGTGAAGTTTAATCTAGTAAGATCTTCTATTAGAACCAATATATCAAAAATTATCATTAAAACATATCATAAATATAAAAACATTAATCAGATGTTTTACATTCTTTCCCTCATATAAAGTTTTCAAAACCCAGCAGTATTTTACACTTCTCAATCTGGACTAGACACATTTCAAGTGCTCAACAGCCGCATGTGGCTACTGTACTGGACAGCACATTCTAGATTTCCAAACATATGAAGCCTTTTGGCCTAAAAGACCATATACTTTAAAATCTTCCTATGTCACATTCTCTATGATCCATATTGTTGTTGGGATTTTATTTTGAGCCAATCACTTCATGAACCTATTTCACTTCTTTCCTCCACTCTCTTGACTCTCATATCTACCACCCACCCTAATGCCTTTGCTCACAGAATTTTAAAAACCCAATCACCTATTCTTTTCAGCTTCTTCTAAGCAATACCTGAGATGTTCTCTAATCTGCACATCTAACACCAAGCAGAAAGCCAGAAGGTGCAGCAAGATTATTTATTCTGTTTCCATAAATAGATCTATCAAATACAGCCCTAATGTATGGCAACAGTGACAAATGGAGGGGCGTTTTTTTCTTATAATGAAGATAAGGCACTTTATATAATAAAGTAGCACACCCTTCCTCAATGAGAAGTAAAACTTTCAATGAGAAATATAATTTTACTCTTTTTTTCTCCCAGGAGAAATTTTGGGTTAGTCTGTTCTTGTTCTGGAACAAAACTCAGTGTTTCATTTCATAGGAATTCTGTGCCCAAAGGAAGAACAGAATGTTGGAATCAAAATTTAATGAATTCAACTTGGAGTCTAACTTTGCCTCAAATGTGGAAATGTAAACATAAGCAATAATATCTCAAACCATGTAACACTTCAGTTTCTCTTTGGCATGACTGCACAGAGAACCACACTTGATGTGTAGCTACACACAAATTTGTTCATAGTTATATAAGGAAAAAATTAAACTAGGCATATGTGAGGTTTTTCTGAGTCTCTTAGTAATAATGAAATCTGATTATTATGTCTTAAGTGATACTATAATTATAGATGAACAGGTTTTCTGTTGCTGACCCAACCTGTTCTTAAAACACAAAAGGCAACTTTTGTAGTCTTCAGCAAGGAAACCCCCCGTTAAACTAATAAGACTAAAAAACCTATGCAGACATTTTCAAAGAAGACCTAACAATATAATAATAATAAAGTAACTCCCATGCAAATACACAAAACAGATAAAAACTAGAACATTAGGTTTTCCTAAAAAGTTGAGCCGTAGTTGTCACCAACTTTAAGAAAGCAAGATACAAATGACAGCGATGTGCATTCTCAGGCTACAAAATAACTTTTTCAGTGCCTCTATCTATAACTACATCTAAGACAGTCTAAGTATTGAACTGCACTTTCCTGGGATAAATTTTACAGTCGTTGAACTTTCATTTTCTGTCTGGGGTGATAATATTTTATCTCAACAGCAAGGAGAAACACCAACACACTTAGGAACCCACACAGAAAGATAACTGTGGAGTGGCTCTCTTATGCTGGTATAGAATACTTATGTACTAAACACCCTCTGTGTATAAACAGACACTGTGTTCAAACCCAGGAGGAAGGGACACAGTGTCCACCGGTGTAGTATTTCAAAGCACGTTGCACAGGGCCCGAAAGTCTAAAAGCATTAATTACGACTTCTCTCCTAGCGTATTAATTTAAGAAATTCCTCAGAGTATATGGCAGAGTTTGCCATCCATCTGCTATGACTTGTGCCTGTGCTGGTGGGCACACAAAGTCAAGTCAGCGGCAACAACCTTTCTGGCAGCTTCTTAATTTTAATCCTGGGTGGACATACTCCACGGAAATACACCCCAGAATCCCAACAGCCGCATACTCTCTCGGTCCCAGAGAGCCCTAAGAACACAATATTAGTCTGGTAGCAACACCCCTGTAGTTGTAAAGTGCTGTGCGAGAGGAAGGCATAAGCGCCACCATATACCTGCTCGTGTTACAGGCTCTCGAATCAAAGTATTCTCACATGACACATTACTACCAATAACAGATTCCGGCTCCGTTTCCAAAAAAAAAAAAAAAAAAAAAAAAAAAAAGCCAGTTTCATAGATTGCAGTACACTATGCTGGAACCAGGAAGGATAGGCATATTTTCTAAAATTTCAGTGGGTATAAACAATAGAGACTGGTTTTTGAAGGTGTGGGTTGCTAAATTCTCCTGAAATTTATTCATTTCAGAAAATCATATAATCTTCAAAATCTGTTTATTATTACTTTCAACTCTGATGCTGTCTCCTATTACCTGCTATTTTCTCTTCAAACAACACAAAACAAGAAAAGTGGTAAATATATTATTTCAAGGGCTGCGTTCATTCTTTGTACTCCCCAAAATATACAAAAACATTTCCATTTAGCATATAATAAAAATAGTTTTCAATAATGGTTTTTGAACAGTTAAAACTATTTTTACGGGGGTTTAAACTGCATTACTCACATAGCATGCAGGAAAACAAAAAGATTTAAAAAATTGTTCCAGAAAGTCACACTAATGACATTTTCCTAGCCCTTTTCTACCACTGAATTCCAATCCTACGTCTTCACAACCTCTCATCTCTTTAGAACTGAAGTGGTTTCACTTGTTCCCTGAATTGCAAGCACCTCTTATTTAGGTACAGTTGATAGT